CAGGAAAGTAGGAACCAAAGAAGAGAAATCCATTGCTACTTGTAAAAGCAAAAGAGAATAAAATCATAGCATTTGCAGGTAAATGGATGGCGTTGGAGAAGGTAATGATAAGTGAAGTTAGCCAATCTCCAAAAACCAAATGCCAAATGTTTTCTCTGATATAAGGAGGCAGATTCATAGTGGGGTAGGGATGGGGTGCCTGAGAGGAACAGACGAACTCTAGATAGGGCAGAGGGGTGGGAGAGGAAGGGTGGGGGCATGGGGTTAGAAATGATGGTGGAATGTGATGGACATCATTATCCAAAGTACATGTATGAAGACACGAATTGGTGTGAATATACTTTGTATACAACTAGAGATATGAAAACTTTGTGCTCTATATGTGTAATATGAATTGTAATGCATTCTGCTGTTATATATATATAAAACACCCATATTAGTAACCATGAAAATATGGGTGACCAGGACTCACTGGTTTGGGTAATTATACTAGAGATTAAGGAGAACTTAATCTTGAAAAAAGAATTTTAAAAAATTAGTGTAATGAGAGCTAAGATAAAAGGTTATTCTTTGATTTTCACCCATCAGTTTGTTCCTGAACTGGAGACATGGTCTCAGGAACGGTGTGCATAAAAGAATAAGCCATCGTCCCATCCTGAAAACGGTCAGACATGTGCTGTAAGAGGACAGTAGAAACTTGTACAAGGAACAGTGGGTGGGACCTGGGGGAGGGTGATCAATTTGACCATGAGAGACAAAGGGCTCCACAGAGCATCAGAGTTTGTGACCACATTTCCAAAAGGTTTCACATTTCAGACTTTTAAGAATTATTTTCATCTTGTAAGTTTGGGCCCTATTGTTTTTCTTTTGAGGTATTCTTCATTTCCTAAAAAAAAATGATAACAGCAGCAGTAAAGATCTTTAGAACATTTTAAAGAGATTTATTTCCCCCACTGGGACATGGCCAAGAGGTGTGAGCAAAGGATGTTGTCAGTTTGTTAGAGGATTCTGAAGAAGAGTGCCACAGATGGACGGCTCCCGCCAGGAAAGAAGGGAAGGTGACTGGCCGGTTTTGGGGGTACACAGAGGAAAGACAGAAGAGGAAGAGATTGGCCCAAGCTCTAATAAATATATTTCCTAATATATTCTCTTTTCATCCCATTTTCATCTTCTGTCACCTCTTTTCTCATCCTTCCCAGGCATATCCATCCACTTCCCTAGATGCCCTCGAAAGATGGCTAATGGTTGTGGGAAGCATCTGCCTAGAAGTTGGTTTAATTGCTCCCTGGGTGACCTCCACTCCTAGGGAAGTGGCCATTATTAGAAGGAAAGTCAGGAGGAACAAATATCTTTTAGATTCAGAAAACGCTATCTCCTAACATTGTGCAAGTATCCTACACATGCTGCTCTGTACCCTGTCTTCTAAGAGTCCTACTAGGCCAAACAACAGAGAAACCTTACAGCTACAAAACATGATTATCTGCAGGAAGCATCCTTGTATGAGAAGTGAGGTCCAGATTTTTTGGGGGTGTAGGAAGTGCTATTCTTGGGGAACTACAGTTGTAGGAAGGTGAATCTGGTTTCCAGGGATACCTCTATGTGAAGTGGGCTTTGATCATTATTTTAGAGTCCAGCTGGCTGAGTCTGATGAATTTTAAGACACTGCCAAAAGCATGAGCAAGTTTCTTTGAATGTGAGTTCTTAGTCTTCGTAAGTTTAAATTGCTATTTTGTCTTTCCTTTTAAAACATTATCTCTTTAGGGTACAGATTCTTAAAACATCTCTATTTTTCATTTTGAAAAAAATTTTGTTTTTTAAATATGTCCAAGTAGCAAATAGGATAGATTTTCTAAATGTTTTAGTGATTCTACATCAACAACAGCCCATCTTTGTTTTACTAGTATCAGACTCATTCATATTTGCCAAAATAGAGAAGTTTGTCTTAAACACTTGGGCTCTGTGATAGGTGGTAGGAAGTGACTTCAGGTTTCCATACTAGAGCTCATTTGGGCGAACAGAAGTTCACTGTTCTGAGAAATAGAGTTGAACACAGATTTTATTCCTAAGGTTCTCTGGTTACATTCACTTCTAAGTTACATTTCCCATTAGTTGTATGTTTTAATGGCTTACATTTCACATTATAATTTCAAAAGCAATCAAATGGAAAATTTGAGCACAAGTAGAACTGCCTACATGCATTTGCTCTGCTAAGGGAGAGATGGCAGAAGTGTCTGCAGACTTGAATTTCTTTGTGGATGTGTCTAAAAATCTCTGCAATGAAACTTCTCAATGTGGTTGTGTTTCTAAATCTACAATTGAGATTAGGGAAATACACATTAAGGGCCTTCCTATCAGTAAGAAAATAGGTAAAAAAACAAAACAAAAAAAACAACATTTTTTTCTGAATATTCTGAATTGCTCCTTACCTTAAGACAGGCCTTAAATTTAGCATCCCTCAGTCTTGAAATGATTCAGCTATACGATCAGTGGGGCTACTTATGGAACATGTATGACTGTATTTTATAATGATCCAATCAATATTTCTAAATAAGAGTAAAACATCTAACTCTTTTAGTTGGAGTCCCATAGATTTCACAGAATACTGCCCCCTTACCAACCTGGCCTGGATTCTGTATTTATGAAGTGGGCACAAACTATTACTTAACTTGGATTCTCTGTGAGTCTTTCAGCAATAATTCAGAACTTATTGTGGTAGATTATATTTCATTTTTTATATTTTCCATTGTTACATTTTGTTATGGTTTGGATCTTAAGTGTTCTCCAAAGGTCCAAATGGTAAAGGCTTGGTTATCAAATTGTGGCATTATTGGAAGATATTGGAACCTTTAAAAGGTGTGGCCTAGTGGAAGTCAGTTAGGTCATTGGAGGTGTTAGTTTTTTGTCACTATGGCCAACATACCTGACAAGAATAAGTTGAAAGAGGAAAGTTTATTTTGGGCTTATGGTTTCAGAGGTTCAGTTTTTGGTCAGTGGACTCCACTACTCTAGGCCTAAGATGAAGCAGAACATTATGGTAGAAGAATGTGTGCCTAACTCTTGAAAGCCAAGAAGGAGAGAGGGATGGTTGTGGTGGTGGATGGGGGTGTGAGGTAGGGACAAAGTACAATCCCCAAGGGCATATCCCCAATGACCTGCTTTTCTAGCCACATCCCACCTGCCTACAGTTACCACTCAGTAGTCCTTTTAAATTATTAATCCATTAAATGGATTAATCCACCTACTAGTTTATAGCTATCATAATCTAGTCATTTCACCTTTGAACAATCCTTCATTGTCTAACATATGAGCTTTTGGGGGAATACCTCATATTCAAACTATAACAGGGATGTGCCTATGATGGGGATATTGGGACCCCAGCCTCCTCTTCTCTCTCTCTGCTTCCCAGTCATCATGAGGTGAATAGTATTCCTCTGCCACATGCATCCACTATGATGTACTGCATCACCACAGGTCCAAAAGCATTGGGGCCTAGTATGGACCTCTGAAACCAGGAGTAAAAAAAAAAATCTTTCCTCTTTATTAATTGACTATCTCAGATATTTTGTCACATTGATAGAAAGGTGATCAATACACAAGTAAAACAAGTAGGTCCCATGTAGTCTTTAATGGCAAGTCTGAGAGCTGCCACATTCTTTTAAGAGGCCAGGACAGAAACGCTGTTGTAGAGACTCCAAGGCCTGGTTCTCTTCTGCTGCTTGTCATGTGGAATCACAGCCCTTTCTACCTGCCTCCCCACTCAGTTACCATAGCAATTAGGCCAGAGCGGAACATCTAGTACTGAAGTCTGCACAGATGAAGCAAGGAGTCTACCAAGCTGGACTGCTCATTTTAAAACTGCTTACTTCAACTTTAGAATATAACCATCATGGTGACAATAATGTATGCTGGTAAAACCAAGCAGGGACAATTCTGTTACTACTCTAGCTTGCAAAGTGACAGCTGGTGAGTAGCATAATGACATTATCCTGACTGGAATATTGCCACTACTAGGGTGAATGCTCCCAAGCATTGACCAGACAAGGAGACTAAACAAAACCTTCTGAATGTCTTAAAATGTGCTAAAAGGTCAGGTTAGCAATTTCCCTTTTTAATATTCAAAACAAGTCATGAAAGTGGAGGTAGTGATGCTCTGTCGAGACTTGGTCACAATGACAAAAAAGCCCTTTTGAAATCTAGGGCCGATAATGTAATTCAGTGGAGTTTCCACATTTCAAGAGGCTGTCACGTACGCCTTGGAAAAGAAACCTTAGCTGAATACTTAAGTCCCCACTCTGCCACTAACATGCTGCGAGACACTGGGTAAGTGACAATCTCTTTGTGCTTCAGTTCCTTCATCTGTAAAATGAGAGATCTGGATGAACAGTCTTTAAGATGTCAGCCAGCTCTGAAATTCCCCGATTCTATGAGGGGAAATTATACAATAATGAGGCTGACTTTCAACGGTGGTCTGTGAACAGCATGCACCGTTTTATGGTGCCACATAATTGACCAGTCCATTTAATGCAAGTCATGGTTACTTTGACCAGAGCTAGTCAAGAAAGTCTTTGCAGTTTCTTTCCCATCTACTCTGGAGTCTTATCATGACACCTCAGAAACACTGTCTTAGACAATTTGCGAAGAAGAGAGTTAAAAACATCTTCCTACTTCGCGCTTCATTAAATCTCTCCACAGGAATGCCATCATGCCACACTCTCATGAGCGTCCATAGCTGCGAGGTAGCGTGGGATGAGTTAAATAAAGGTCAGCTCATAAAACACAATTGTCCTCACATTCCTATGGCACTATATTACTCTCTAGTCTTTTCTGCAGCCTTTAAAGTTTCTGTCAATCACGTGGAGTCTTTATTGACATAAGCATCTGATGAAGGGAAAAGAGATAGTTAACCTGGAAAAGCATTTTGAGGAAAATAACCAAGGAAAGAACAAATAGAAATGCAAACCAAGCATGTAGAGAGCAAGTGACAGTCAGATGGAGCTTACGGATCAAAGGCTGCAAGCAGGAAGTTGAGCAGGAGGCTGATGGACTGCTCCACATGGATTTGGTGAGTGGTTGGCATCCGTTTGTTAAGCTGGTAAAAAATGGTGGAGAGCACAGCCTCCAGGCGGGCCACATTGAGCTCTATGTTTGGGTCCAGGTTGTTCAGAGCATTTTCCCGCAATGCTTCTATGACATTCCAAATGTCCACCAGGTGCACTACAATTAAAACAGAGTTAACACATTAGCCCAAAGTGCATGGAAAGGAAATACGTTACTTTATATGTCCATCTGCTCTGGTTTCTCTAGGCTCTTCACATGTGTCCCGCTGTTGTAGGAGTGGACACAAATAAATGTACATACTGTGTGATCTCTAAGACTGGAGGTACAATATTTTGCAGCAAGCAAATGGTTTACCAAAGACTGAAGTAGATATTTATTTCTAGTCCTCACAGTAACCCCTGAAATGTAGCTATTATCCTCATGTTGTATGCAAAAAGACTGAGCATCAGGGAAGTTGACTGACAGGTGCAATGGTGCAAGGCCAGTCAAGGGCAAAGTTGGCATTCAAATCCAAGTCTATTGATCTAAAGCATTTTCACATACACAGTGACTCTCAAAAAGAAAAGACCAGCATCTACATTCTAGTTGCTGAAGGATAGACAAAGTACATTTGAGTATTTAAAATGTCTTCATTTATTATATATATTTCTAGTAGTATGTAGTTTGAAATAAGAAAACAAAGGAAAGTTAAGGTATGTAGGACAACAAGGGGAAAAAGACAAGTTATTTATGCTGTGCAGCAACAGAATGAAGAGATCACTTGCTAACCTGGTCAAGAACAAGCAGTTTCTCCGTTCCATCGTTGACTAGATAATCTAGCTTGATTCATGGTTACTTTCATTAGGGTATTCAAGAAATCTGTTTCTGTTTCTTCTCATTTGCCCTGAAGTATTTTTTATGACATCCCAGAAACCATCACCACCACAAAGACAATGAATATGTATGCCACCTCAACACTTTCTCTGGGCTCCCCCGTAATCCATTTCTAGCAGGTAGACAACCTCTGATCTGCTTGCTTCTTGTCACAATTTTCCAGAATTTAAAAAAGCTGGAATCATATAGTATGTACTAGTTTTTCATCTGGATGCTTTTACTTAGTGTAACTACTTTGAGATTCATCTGTGTTGCTTCAAATATCAGTAGTTGGCTCCTTTTCATTGCTGAGTGGTTTTTCATTATATGGATTTCTCATTTTTGTTTTGTTTTGTTTTGTAGCAGGGATTGAACTCAGAGGTGCTTAACCACTGAGTCACATCCTAAGGCCTTTTTATTTTTATTTTGAGACAGTGTCTTGCTAAGTTGCTCAAGGTCTTGCTAAGTTGCTGAGGCTGGCTTTGAACTTGCGATCTTCCTACCTCAGCCTCCGGAGCCACTGGGATTACAATATATATCACCACTTGATCATGGAGTCACTTATGGATGGACAGTTGAGTGATCCAGTTTTTGGTTGGGATGAATAGAGTTGCTATGACCATGTCCAAGCCTTTTGATAGACACATGCTTCCATTTCTCTTTGTAAATAGTGAGAAATGAGAAGGTGGGGTGGTATAGTAGATATATATTTAATTTCAAAGAAATTTTTAAGTGTTTTCCACAGTAGTTTTACTGGTCCATATTCCCTTAAGCAGTGTATGAGTGTTCCACTCCAGTTCCTCCACATCTTTACCAAGTTTTAGGTTCACTTTTCATTACACTTTTGCATATGAAAATAAATATTTTGTCTTTTCTCAATGAAATGTATTCACATTTCAGTCCTTGAGGAATGTGTAAGCCACATAAGTTTTTTTTCTCCAACAATTCCCTAGTTTTTATCTCCTACCTTTTTGCTCACCGTGATACTATATTTTATTTTATTTTTATTTTTTTAATTTTTTATTGTTGGTTGTTCAAAACATTACATAGTTCTTGATATATCATATTTCACACTTTGATTCAAGTGGGTTATGAGCTCCCATTTTTACCCCATATACAGATTGCAGAATCACATCAGTTACACATCCATTGATTTACACATTGCCATACTAGTGTCTGTTGTGTTCTGCTGCCTTTCCTATCCTCTACTATCCCCCCTCCCCTCCCCTCCCCTCCCCTCTTCTCTCTCTGCCCCCTCTACTGACATTCATTTGTCCCCCTTGTATTATTTTTCCCTTTCCCCTCACTTCCTCTTGTATGTACTTTTGTATAACTCTGAGGGTCTCCTTCCATTTCCATGCAATTTCCCTTCTCTCTCCCTTTCCCTCCCACCTCTCATCCCTGTTTAATGTTAATCTTCTTCTCATGCTCTTCGACCCTACTCTATTCTTAGTTACTCTCCTTATATCAAAGAAGACATTTGGCATTTGTTTTTTAGGGATTGGCTAGCTTCACTTAGCATAATCTGCTCTAATGCCATCCATTTCCCTGTAAATTCTATGATTTTGTCATTTTTTAATGCAGAGTAATACTCCATTGTGTATAAATGCCACATTTTTTTTATCCATTCATCTATTGAAGGGCATCTAGGTTGGTTCCACAGTCTTGCTATTGTGAATTGTGCTGCTATGAACATCGATGTAGCAGTGTCCCTGTAGCATGCTCTTTTTAGGTCTTTAGGGAATAGACCGAGAAGGGGAATAGCTGGGTCAAATGGTGGCTCCATTCCCAGCTTTCCAAGAAATCTCCATACTGCTTTCCAAATTGGCTGCACCAATTTGCAGTCCCACCAGCAATGTACAAGTGTACCCTTTTCCCCACATCCTCGCCAGCACTTGTTGTTGTTTGACTTCATAATGGCTGCCAATCTAACTGGAGTGAGATGGTATCTTAGGGTGGTTTTGATTTGCATTTTTCTGACAGCTAGAGATGGTGAGCATTTTTTCATGTACTTGTTGATTGATTGTATGTCCTCCTCTGAGAAGTGTCTGTTCAGGTCCTTGGCCCATTTGTTGATTGGGTTGTTTGTTCTCTTATTGTCTAATTTTTTGAGTTCTTTGTATACTCTGGATATTAGGGCTCTATCTGAAGTGTGAGGAGTAAAGATTTGTTCCCAGGATGTAGGCTCTCTATTTACCTCTCTTATTGTTTCTTTAGCTGAGAAAAACTTTTTAGTTTGAGTAAGTCCCATTTGTTGATTCTAGTTATTAACTTTTGTGCTATGGGTGTCCTATTGAGGAATTTGGAGCCCGACCCCACAGTATGTAGATTGTAGCCAACTTTTTGTTCTATCAGATGCCGTGTCTCTGATTTGATATCAAGCTCTTTGATCCATTTTGAATTAACTTTTGTGCATGGCGAGAGAAAGGGATTCAGTTTCATTTTGTTGCATATGGATTTCCAGTTTTCCCAGCACCATTTGTTGAAGATGCTATCCTTCCTCCATTGCATGCTTTTAGCCCCTTTATCAAATATAAGATAGTTGTAGTTTTGTGGATTGGTTTCTGTGTCCTCTATTCTGTACCATTGGTCCACCCGCCTGTTTTGGTACCAGTACCATGCTGTTTTTGTTACTATTGCTCTGTAGTATAGTTTGAAGTCTGGTATCGCTATACCGCCTGATTCACACTTCCTGCTTAGCATTGTTTTTGCTATTCTGGGTCTTTTATTTTTCCATATGAATTTCATGATTGCTTTCTCTATTTCTACAAGAAATGCCATTGGGATTTTGATTGGCATTGCATTAAACCTATAGAGAACTTTTGGTAATATCGCCATTTTGATGATGTTGGTTCTGCCTATCCATGAACAGGGTATATTTTTCCATCTTCTAAGATCTTCTTCTATTTCTCTCTTTAGGGTTCTGTAGTTTTCATTGTATAAGTCTTTCACCTCTTTTGTTAGGTTGATTCCCAAGTATTTTATTTTTTTTGAAGATATTGTGAATGGAGTTGTTGTCCTCATTTCCATTTCAGAGGATTTGTCGCTGATATAAAGGAATGCCTTTGATTTATGAGTGTTGATTTTATATCCTGCCACTTTGCTGAATTCATTTATTAGCTCTAATAGTTTCTTTGTAGACCCTTTTGGGTCTGCTAGGTATAGAATCATGTCATCAGCAAATAGTGATAATTTAAGTTCTTCTTTTCCTATTTTGATGCCTTTAATTTCTTTCGTCTGTCTAATTGCTCTGGCCAGTGTTTCGAGAACTATGTTGAACAGAAGTGGTGAGAGAGGGCATCCCTGTCTTGTTCCAGATTTTAGAGGGAATGCCTTCAGTTTTTCTCCATTCAGAATGATGCTAGCCTGAGGCTTAGCATAGATTGCTTTTACAATATTGAGGTATGTTCCTGTTATCCCTAGTTTTTCTAGAGTTTTGAACATAAAGGGATGCTGTACTTTGTCGAATGCTTTTTCCGCATCTATCGAGATGATCATATGGTTCTTATTTTTAAGTCTATTGATGTGGTGAATAACATTTATTGATTTCCGTATATTGAACCAGCCTTGCATCCCAGGGATGAATCCTACTTGATTATGGTGCACAATTTTTTTGATATGTTTTTGTATCTGATTTGCCAGAATTTTATTGAGGATTTTTGCATCTAGGTTCATTAGAGATATTGGTCTGTAGTTTTCTTTCTTTGAAGTGTCTTTGTCTGGTTTAGGTATCAGGGTGATGTTGGCTTCGTAGAATGAATTTGGAAGTTCTCCCTCTTTTTCTATTTCCTGAAGTAGCTTGAAAAGTATTGGTATTAGTTCCTCTTTAAAGGTTTTGTAAAACTCTGCTGTATACCCATCTGGGCTTTTCTTAGTTGGTAGTCTTTTGATGGTTTCTTCTATTTCCTCAATTGATATTGGTCTGTTTAGGTTGTCTATATCCTCCTGACTCAATCTGGGCAGATCATATGACTTAAGAAATTTATCTATGTCTTCACTATCTTCTAATGTATTGGAGTATAAGGATTCAAAATAATTTTTGATTATCTTCTGTATTTCTGAAGTGTCTGTTGTGATATTGCCTTTTTCATCCCGTATGTTAGTAATTTGAGTTCTCTCTCTTCTTCTCTTTGCTAGCATGGCTAAGGGTCTGTCGATTTTGTTTACTTTTTCAAAGAACCAACTTTTAGTTTTGTCAATTTTTTCAATTGTTTCTTTTGTTTTGATTTCATTAATTTCAGCTCTGATTTTCATTATTTCTTGCCTTCTACTTCTTTGCTGTTGTTTTGCTCTTCTTTTTCTAG